AAAAGACGCAGATGGCCGAGCGCCTGTACCGGCTGCTGGTTAATGCTGACGCGAGCAGTGCGCAAGAGACTTCAGCCAACAAGGCCATGGATGCGGCAGAGCTTGAGTCACTCACGCCTGTAGTGACAATGGGCCATTTCGAGGCTGCCTTCAAGGTCACCCAGTCATCGCTGGGCGAGCAAGACCGCCTCAGGTTTGAGGGCATATACCGCGACTTTGTCGATGACAAGAAGGGCTCCAGCGACAAACCGCGCAAGCCGATAGAGCAGAAGGCAACCATGGCGTAAAGCGCTACTTTGACAGTCAAATACATGCTTACTCCTTGGCACGGCTATAAGCGACAGCACGGTGATTTACTGATATGGATTACGCTGGATCATGGCCCGGTTTATCTCAGCCGTGGCGCTGCGATTCTGCGTATTGCTGACAATTTTTGTGCAAAGCTGCTGGTCCAGTTTTTCCCCACCTATTCGTAGCCTCAAATTACATATACCCCCCAGAGAATGTCGTTTGCGATCCAGTCAACACGGGCATTGCTCGCTCGGTCAGCAACAGTAGCGCGCCTGCCGCGTGCGTCGGTGTCGCAGCGGGTTGGCGCTGCAGTTAGCCAGGCGCTGCGTGGGCCGACGGCCACAGCAATTGGTGTGCATTTGGGTCTGCTGGGCGAGCTCCTCGGGGAGATGATCCTGCGGGCCGTGCCCAAGCAGCGCACGAGCCATTCGAAGAAGCGCAAGCGCATGGCAACCAAGGGCCTGAAGAACCGCAAGGATCTGGTGCCGTGTCGCGGGTGCGGTCGGCCAAAGGCTGTTGCGCAGATCTGCCTCAACTGCTACCATGACATCAAGCGGACGCTCAAGGATCTGAAGCGCAAGGAAGATCTTGTGCCGCACGACAACTAGTTTATTGCTCCTGCGACAGAAAAATAAAAAAAGACAACATTCTACTTTTGCGCGCTGATTGCATCCCACTCGGGGACGTTAAGCTTGCCGTAGATGGCCCACGGAGAAGCTGGATCGGTGATAACACGCTGCAGCACAATGTACTCACGCACATGCACCGGCTTGGCAGCCTTTGCTCCAGCCGTGCCGACCGATCTCCGCGCCAGCGGCGTCACCACCTGCTCCTGGTCCACGCGGACCACAACCTGCCCAACAGCAAAGTCAGACGTGATGCGGCCAGTGCGGATCTGGACCACCTTGGGTGCTGAGACTGTCGCAGCCTTCGTCCAGTCAAAGTCGACTTTCCGCCGCTTGATCTCGTTCTTCAGATTGGCATACATGTTCGGGAAGCAGATGGTGTTTAGGCTCTTCAGGTCACCCCTGGCGAAGGCTTCGTTCATCAGCCCGTACAGCTCCTCGGCCTGCTGGGCAAACTCGGCGCCCTTCCAGCCCGACAGGTACCACTTCAAGGTCACCAGCGAAAACACCTCGCGCATCCACTCGACAACATCCGCCTTGGTGCTAGTGATCCCTTCCTTCGACAGCGGCAGCGGGCGCTTGCCCCACGGCGCGGGTATATAGTTTGACAGGAGGCCAAACTCGTTGGCCACAAAGTGCTCCTGCCGCGGGTGAGAGTGATGCCGCACCGACATCAAGGTCGGGGCTCTCAGCAGCTGCTGAATCGGCGTGTGCATGCTGGGCTGGGCACCACGCAGGGACGATGCCACCGAGCGCAGCAGCGGACCGCGCAGGACGTTCGACCTCAGTCCGAAATTGGTGGCCATTTCTCAGTAACAAGGGCAGCAAGGAAAATGCAGAAACGATTAGAAACACCGGTCGCAAGATAAAAATACCCCCAGCCAGATCGCAATAAGCACACACCTTTTGATGCGGTCTTGATCGGCCGCTGATCTGCTTGATTGCCGACCGGCCTTGCCGCCCGCGATTTGTAGACTGCGCGAGCTGGGCAGCGTGCGCTGTTGAACTCATTTCCGTTAATATCCAGAGAAAATAGCACTTGTACTCATATTTTGCCCAAGCAATGCTGCTGCTGGACGGAGAGACCCTGGTACACACGTCGCCCACGTCATGCAGCAAGGACGACGGCACGCTCTACTATACAAACAGGCGCATTCTGTGGATAAAGCACGGCACGCAGACTCCGAGCATTGTTATTCAGCATGAGGACTTTCGCCTGCAACAGGTCAGCAAGGCCGATGCGAAAAAGGTCATGCTTCGAATCTCGGTGATGGGCCCCGGCCAGGCCCCGTCGGACGCGCCGGCACTGACATACACTTTTGCGTGGAAAAACGCAAACAAGGAGGAGGCGCTGGCAGACCGTGACAAGTACGTGAATGAGCTGTACAAAATTACGCCGCGCAAAAACGCCGGCGGTGATGCCGCTCCGACAGGAACCAGTGGCACCGCCGCGCCATCAGCAGCAGCCGTGCCGAATGGTTCTGGGAAGGGCGCGGCCACGATGAGCTCGCTGCACCCAGAATTTGCAAAGGTGAAGATTGGCACGGATCCAGCATCGGCAGAGGACATCAAGCTGCGGCAGGATGTGCTGTCCAAGAATGCAGATCTGGCCAAGCTGCACAGGGCACTGGTCGTGTCGGGTCTGGTCTCGGAGGAGGAGTTCTGGAGCACCCGCAAGCATATTCTGGAGACGCAGGCAGTGCAGAGCCAGCTACGGAAGGGCGACTCGTCGACATGGCTCGATCTCGCACCAACAACGCAGGATGGGGGCAACTTCAAATACACGATCACGCCCAATATCGCCAAGCGCATCTTTAAGGAATACCCACAGGTCAAGCGTGCGTATATCGATAACGTGCCGCACAAGATTGGCGAGAAGCAGTTCTGGAAGCGGTTTCTCGCATCGCGCTTCTTCAACCGCAACCGATCAACGTCAGCCATGAAGGGCAACCCGGACTCGATTTTTGACGTGTGCCTGCGTGACGAAGACCACATGCTGGGAGACCCCGACCGATTTAGCTCGCAGTTCATCATGCGGCTGCTAGATCTGTCGCGCACGGAGGAAGACAGTGTCGAGACAGGCAATATGCCTGACTTCACTATGCGTCCCGGGCGGTTCAGCGAAAGCCTGTCACTGATTAGACGGTTCAACCACCACTCAGAACTTGTGCTGCAATCGGCAATTGGAACCAAGCGCAAGGAGCTCTCGGTATCCTCTGCCACTGTCGACAGAGAGTTGGGCCGTGCAATCATGCTGCCGGATCTCGAGCAGCCACGAGCTGAGAAGCGTGTTAAGCTCAATATCCAGGACCAGTCGCGCTATCTCACCAGCCTAGTCAAGGGTGACGTGACGATGAGATCAAGCGACGAAGATATGCTGCAGCAGCGGTCGACATTCTCGATAAACTTTGATCTGTCCCACCCACTCTCGGACTGTGGCAACACACAGCGCACTATGGCCGCGCTCACTGGGTCGGTACGGCGGGTAGCATTCAAGAGCCGGCCCAACCGCATCAAGGAGTTGAGCATCCCGCCATCACTAAGCAAGGCAGTGGAAGAGTGCTATGGTGCAGGCACGGAGATGCTGCGCCATCTGTGGGCCATAATGCGACTGCCAATGACGCCGGAGAAGCGGCAGAAGGCAGACAAGATTACTGCCGCGTTTGACAATGTCCACAAGCATATCCGTAGCACAATCACCATGGCCAACTCTGCCGAGAGCAAGAATGCAAATCTGGGCAGCACCATTGAGCAGATGGTGCAGCCAGTGATTGATTCGCTGAATGCAGGGAAGAAGGAATATGAGCGACGGGTCCACGGTGTCAATGCGTCATCATAGCATCTTCAGTTGTCAGAATGGTCCTACTATGAATCAAACAGCCATATGAACCAGCAACTGACCCTGGGTCATGCTTCATACAGAATGCTGGCCTTCCCTCTATCCTGTGCGGTGCAGCATCAGGCTCGCAATCACCACCTCTTTGGTAATCACCAGCAAGCCAGACACAAAACACACATGCACACATAAATGCACCTTCCTTTCTATTCTCTTTGATTTCATCGCATCGCTTTTAAATAGTTTTTCAGATCTGTACGCATATGTGCGAGTAGCATCACAAGCCATACAGACGCCATTGCACATGGTATTGCGGACAATCAGCCCGCACCACATACCAAGTATATAATAATCGTATGTATATGTTTAGTGCAAGAAACGCCAGCACTCGATATCCTGCTCTAATGCATGGATACCTGCAAAATCAGCTGTTTTGCCGAAGAAGAGCTTACCTATCTGAAATCGGATAATGAAAATGCGACAACTATGGATTGCGTGGTTAATGCGAACTGGGTCGGAATATACAAGGAGAATGCTGCTGAAGCAAGGAGCAGGGATGATTCAGGAAACAGGTATGGTTCAGGACATGAATAAAAACGGAAGGTGCTGCCGATGAAGTATTTGCCTGGGTAGTTGCTCGCGCGAAAATTAAGCAACACGCGCATTGTCCAGGTCAGAGATGAGGAGGCAGCACGCACTTTTGGGATCAGCTACCAGCCCAGCAGCCATCAATCAATTGGGCGTAGTGTACCCGGTGAAATAGGCTGGCCCATGTATTCATGGTACTTTTAGGATCGCAGTAGATACCAAACAGTTCAAGATGCACGTACTCATGGCGACAAGCTATCTGGATCAGCTATTTCCTAGAAACGAAAATCGTCCTGGAGGGCAAAAATGCCAAGAATACTCCCATTTCTACAGTCCGAAGCTGGGATAGCTGCTACTTCCCTTATTTTTCGCTAGGGATAACAAATCCAGGTTGATTGCAAGAAAGCTGCAATCTCTGCCAAGATTCTATCAGAACTCGGATTTTTTTTATACGAAGCTGCTGTTGTTGCTGCGCCGTACCACACATACACCCCAAATCCGATTTTTGCAGCGACAGATATGCTCGTTGAGCAGCTTGTTCGTGTGCCTGGAAGAGACAGTAAATGACTGTCTTGGCACAAGTAGGGTGGCCGCTGGATCGAATATAAAAAGGCGAATGTCAAGCGCAGGCGCTCTCACATCCATATCATTCACACCAAACAACATCGAAATACTTGGAAAACGCCCCTTTACCGACCTCCGACTTCCCCTTACCACTGCCAAGAATGTCGTCCTTCAGCTCCTCCAACAAACACACTACTGCTAACAGGATCGCCCTCAGCTCAAAGATCAGTAGCGCCGGTGAAGGAAACAATGCATATGACGCTCTTGAATACCTGACCGGATCACTTGGAGGCACCGGATCCAGCAGCAGTCCGACAGTGTACCCTCAGCAATAGTCATGATTTTATCTTTTATTCAATTGCGCATGGATTCGAAGAGACCATATTTGTGTACTATTCAACAAATACTCTCTGGATGAAGTTGAAACATTGAAAAGGTATTAGGGCTGGAGTTAGCCAAGGCACATCAAATGTGTCTGAAGCAAAAATACCATGTACCGCTTTGCAACAAGCGCCTTTAACCCAAGATAGGAAATTGGGTCGACAGATATACATCAAGTATGGTAGCGCTATGTATCTGTTTTCCGACGTGTGTCAACATGACCTTGGCCAGCCCTGCCGCAGCAAGCAGCCATTGGGAGTCTCTATTCTGCGAAATATAAACGTCTTCGCATAATTGACTCATCGTGTGTCACCAGAGGTGCCATGTGCACACGAGGCTGATACAGCCGGAAGCCCCCAAGAAGATTGGATATACACCCCTTGATTTCAGAAGGGAGGTTATGAGTGGAATTTCTTGTGGCCACAGGACCTTGAACCTGTGTCATACTCCCATTGTTGTGATTGAAGGTGTGGCAAAGGAATGCCAAGCAGTTGTCGGTCTCGTGCTGTGCTTCAAGGAAAAATGGATCGATGGCTTGCGCCGCGGAATACCAAATAAGGGTGCCAAGAGAGTATAGACTTGGTCCGTATAAAAGGCTCACGCAGAAGCAGCCAGCCTAGCCGATTCCTCCTCCTCCAAATAACCTGCTCTCTACACCCACAACACATTCGGCCCAAAGATGACATTGACAGCGAAAACGACCGGCACCACCAGGAACAAGCTAGCCATGCTCTTCTTCAAGCTGGACAAGACAAACACCCTCAAAACTACCACCACCAATGATACGCTGACAGACGGCGACAGGATAGGCATTTTTGGTACTGGCAAGAGCAGAAACGCATTTGACGCGCTCGATGCCTTGACCAATGATGGCGGATACACCGGCACATCTTACCACATTGACACATGCGGCCGCATTTAGAGGCTGACCCACCTTCTTGACAATATTATTAAGGCCAGGCTCGGGCGGCATATCGGCAATTTGCAGCTCAATATAGCCACTGGGAATATTGCAGAAAATATTGCAGAGGGTATGGCATACTCAACGATTGGCTCGCTGCTTAGTCAGTGCAAGGGCAGGCACATTCATGCTGATTTCTGCAGACACAATAGAGGCAGAATTGCCGAACTAGTGATACGCCTTGCCAAGTCTGGAAACACAAGGTGTAGACTTCAAAGAAGCTTGGCCGCTGGACAGCTTATTCTTCAGCGACACTGATGGTCTGCCTGTAGTCTATTCGAAGCTGTGCATATTCAAAATGACGAACATAAATGGCTGGTGTTTCTCAGTAGGCATTTGTATTCTGCAAACCAGCCTATTCCCGGAGCTGCGGCCGTTCATTTGCAAGGGTCATTTTCCATTCTCAGATATTGATACGGTTCGTTGGATCCAGCTGACAGCCAAAGAAATGGAGGTCTACCTGCGTAGTACGGACCAAAGATGACCATTAGTTAAGGCATGCCTGCAGTTGGCTCGTTCACAAATCTGCTCAGCTTAAGGCCATCATGGCCAGTTACAGGATAGGAACCTTCGACTGCCGATTCACCATGTGAGCTCGCACGTGTATTATCACTCAGTCAAGCCCTGGAGAAGGCTGTTCTCCTCTCAAATATCTCTCATCTTGGCAGCGCGATGCTGCTCAATAAGAATCCAAGTGTATCAAAGAGCTGGCCCTGGTCACTGTTTGCCTCACCATCGCTGAAGCGATCCAGCCTATTAACAATTTCCCAGGGCTGCAGCTGGTGGTGTTGTTTCTGGCAAGCAGCAATGATGTCAACGGGCGAGGTTGTATTGCTGATTCGCTTATTAGAGTTCCTGCAAAATAATGTGATGCTCGCTATCTTGAAACCCGGTGTCGCTAATAGCAATGGCTACAGGTTCCCCTCATGCTCGCGCGCCGCACATCACATGTTGCTGCTGGGCCACATCTTCAAGTCCATTAGGCGGATTGAAGCTGGTAGCTTTGGCAGCAAGCGTGATAGGGATATTCTTGCAACATTTGGTACAACAAAGCAGAGCGGCTATTTCTATGACAATCAAGAAGACCGAACTCGACACATGGTGATTGCTGTGGTCGAAAAGAAGAGTCTTGGTATATTTATGTCACAAATCTGCAATACGGGAATGAACAGCCTCCTGCATTTGCTCGTGTGTGTTTGCTTTCCAAGCACTTTTCCACAACACATATGTGAATGAATAGGCAAAATGCTATGTAGAAGATGGAAGGAGCCACCGGAAGGTGGGTGGGTGGATGTCAGTGTATAAATAGTGCGCAGTGCCTAGGACAAGAGGAGCACAATCATTAGTGGTCGCAGGTCTAAGGCATACGCTTTCTGGGACCTCGTGATCGATAGCGCTGGGAACTACAGCTGCAATGGGGTAGGATACATAACAGCCATGCGGAATTACATATTGGAAATCCCTTGAGGCCCGAATATCAGCGCGCTCCACATGTCAGCCCCAATATGCACGGTACTAAGCGACGGGAATACACCTTGTCGCATCCACGATTCGAGGGAATCCACAGTCTGCGCGGTCCAGCCCAAGTTCCTAATCCCAGATGAGCTTGTCCTCAAACACTGAAGCCTTGCCATTCACCTTGCTCGTTCCTGCACTAGCAGGCTTGGGGGTGTTTGCTGTCTTGCGCTTTGCTTTCTCCCATTGCTCGCGCGACCGGACCTCGACCAGCCCGCGCTGGTGCTGGCGCAGCCGCTGTGCCTGCAGCTCGGCTACATAGGCCTTCTCTGCACGCTTGCGTTCCTCCTTACGCATGTTCTGGCGCTGTTTCTTCGTCAGCGCCTCCTCGTACTCGTAGCTACGTGCAGTGCGCCGTGGTGAAGACACAGGTGCTGGGTGGGCTGCTGCGCCAATGCGCAGGACTCGGGCAGCAGGTTTTGCTTCGGGCTCCTTGCCCAGATCCTTGTCCGGCTCCAGCTTACCCCATGCTGACTCGTGTACCGGAATGTGCTTGGATGCGGTTTTTTCAGGGCGGTAGCCTTCGGTCCCAACTGTCTCCCACACATCCTCCTCCACAGCGGGCTGTGGCTCTGGCTCCTCGTCTGATCCGGGCTCGCTGGGGCTACGTGACTGGTCAGCAGCAAGGGGCTGCACAACAACGACGGGCTTTTTCGTTTCGAGAGTTCTTGGCGCAGCAGTGGTTTTTGTAGCGTCGCCAGCAGGGGTAGCAGCCTCGTCGGTCGTCTTTGCAGCCTTCTTGCTGTGCTTTTTTGGCCTCGATCCCTTCTTCGACGGTTTCTTGCCGGTGCTGCTCTTGTGTGCTGCTGCCTTTTGCTGCGGGTCGGATTCTACGTGCGTGGCACTACCCTCAGGGAATGTGCCTGCCATGGTTTCTACGTCAGCAGCTGGCGCGGCCTGCTTTTTTGCATTGCTCGGTTGGCCACGGGTGACAAAGTAGTATCCGAGACCAAAGGCGCCGGCAATGAGAATGATCTGGCTCCACATGTCTCGATGGCAAGCACTTCAATAAACAGTTACAGTTGAATGGAAAGCGAAAAGGCCAGAGTTGTGCTGCCTCAGGAAACCACCAGTGGCCGCAGTGGGCAAGAGCGGAATACGAGCAGCATGGTGATTTTGGGTTGGAGACTACTGCCAGTGTCAGTTACCTGGATGAAGGCTGTCTTCTGCCCCCGGTCGCCTGGTGGTTGGCGGTCCAGCGGTTGAACAATGAGTGTCCTTTCCAGCTATCTGAGCCCAGGCCACGTTCACGCACTGGTTCGTCGCCAACCCCCCAATGTCGCTGGGAGCATTTCTGGTCTCAGCTACTATGCTGGGAGCCCCAGCCAATAGATTCTCGGAGATGAAAAATCGCCCGGCTATTGCCTGCTGGCGAATCTGCCCCGGAGCACTTCTGGCTTTTAATTCTCAGCCCCCAACTTTTTTTTTTTTTCATTTTGTCGCAACCACCTCAGCGCCTTTCGTTTCTCCTTCCCCTCAATACTCTTTTTAATACCCACACAAATTCAGGCGATGAGCAACACTTCGAGCAGCAGAAGCAGCAGCGAGGAGGGCGCGGCCAGAGACATGGGCTCACAGTCGCCGCCGTCAAGCGCGTGCTCGCTCAGCAACTACGATCCGGGAAGCCCGATGGGTCTTGGCGACAGCGACCCGAACGTTCTCGACAGCTTCAAGCCGATAGAGGTGAACCAGTCGTACGATGTGCCGACAGACAAGCCGTACCCGATTAATGCGCCGCCGCAGGACCGCCCGGTACGGCTGTACTGCGATGGCATCTACGACCTGTTCCACTACGGCCACGCGCGTGCCCTGGAGCAGGCCAAGAAGTCGTTCCCAAACGTGTACCTGATGGTCGGGATGTGCAACGACGCCGAGACGCACTCGCGCAAGGGCAAGACGGTGCTGACAGAGAACGAGCGGTACGAGTCGATGCGCCATTGCCGCTGGGTCGACGAGGTCATTACCGATGCCCCATGGGTGATCACACAGGAGTTCATTGACGAGCACGAGGTACGTATGCATCTGCCGGCTTGACGTCTATGGCGCGGGTCTGCTCGCTGCCAAGGAGCGCGCCTGCCTTTCATATGCCAAATTGGTTCTCTCGCGTGTGGCTCTGCACGTGTCGGGTGGGATGCGGGCCTTTAATGCCCGAGCGCCGCCGCAGTGCCTCACCTGCAACCTGGCCCATTGTCCAAATACGCTTTTATGCTGCCTGCCAGACCAACATTGTGGGCCAGGAACAAGGCATCTCTGGCAACGGAGGTCCTGGCGCGAATCTGTGCGCGCGTGGGCAAGGAAAAGCGAAAACAATCCGGTGTGCTCCAGGTGTGAGAATCCTGGTCTTTTCGCGCCCTGCTTGGTCCTCAACGTTTTCAGGCTTTTGTCGGTCCATTGCGACTTCAATGTATTCGCTCCCAGAGCGGATCGACAGCGCATCTCTCCGACACAACCAGCAGTGGCGATCACTCGAGGCCACAGGGAAAGCGTCTGGCTGACCGATTGTTTGACTGTAGATTGAC